TTTTTTACAGTTTTTTACTACAATCTTTAAAAAATTAATACTTTCATTAAGGTGGTACTTGGGTGAAAAATCCAAATTCTTTATTTCTTACTATTTAAATTTGATACTTTGATACAACAGTTATATAAGGTAACTATGCCTTGATTTAAAAAAAAAAAAAAAAAAAATTTACAGAAAACCTTTTTTGGGTCCAAAGGTTTTAAAATGGTCATTTTGCGGTGCGTCAAATTCAGAAAAAAACCACCTGTATAATGTTAACAAAATTTTTACAGTATGTTTATAGTATAATTTTACAGGTATGGGAGCAGAATTAGCCTGATTGCATATCTAGATCTAAGGTAATCAATTTTCAAATACCTTGCTTATAAAAAGGCTTAAAAATAAAACTTTGGGCTTGGGAAACACTGGACCGAAAAAATAGGTTTTTTTTAAAATTTTGGTTCTAAACCTGTATCTTATAAAAAATAACCACCATATAATATTTCAAGAGTAAAGTCAAATCAATCAAAAGTTATATGACGCACCGTTCAAAAAATTCAATTTTGAGATAAATGGAATTTAAGTAATAATACTAAAATATTAGTAAATTTTTTTTAAGGATTCAAAAAAAAAAAAAAGATTTTTATGATTGATCACCGTAAATAAAAAATAATAAAAATCTCTGATATAAACCATAACCATACTTCATTTTTTCTGATTGATTAGTATTTATGAAACCTTTTATGAACTCTTTGAATATACTTTTTCCGATTTCCTTTCCATTGACATTACTCTTTGGTTGATATTTAAAACACAGAACTGATTTGCATAAAATCCTGGAACACCTATGCCCTTTAAAACCTTTAGAGTTCCCTTTTTACAATCATTAAAATTTATAACTGCAGAAGCTACACCTAGCTAAACAGTGGTTTTACAAACGTAGATATCTTTTTGAAACCCTTTCCAAATCATTCCATTTAGCGACTCATTTATTTATTCGTTATTTTGAGTTTTGCCATAAAGATATTTTTTTTATAAATTGTCATTACTCAAGCCTAAAAAAAAAACATGTTTTATTTCTTCAAGGGCAGCAATTGTAATTCCTCCCTTATGTTTGTATGTTGCTATGCCATTTATTTTGTCAGTCTGATATTTACAGCAACTATCAAAGGGCACATTTGATACCATCTATATTCTTATAATATCTTTTGCTTAAGTCTGAAGCAAAAGTAAGTGGAACAGTGCTTTTCCATTGCTCTTAAGTTAAGAGCAATGGAAAAGCACTGTTCCAATTACTTTTTTCATCCACAGAGTTTTTTTAAACTGGTATAACTTTTTCCAATTTCCCTCATAGCAATAACAAAACGTACATAAACCTCAAACAGGTCTACCACGACTGCTTTTGCATTTATATTCTTTACTTGATCGAAAAGTTGCACGCCAACAACAACTTGAACATTGAAACAATAATGGTATAGACAAGCCTTGCTTTCTCAAGACGTTAAATGTTCGACTCATAGTCTTTTTGTCACATTCAGGGCATGTTGCAACTAAATTAATAATTTCCATAAAAATGTTCATAGAAAAAACTATAAAAAATCAAAAAAGTAGGGTTTAAAGAATTTAAAGAAACAAACTGGCTTCATTAGTAATTTTAGAAGGTAATGATGTGCCTCATGATAAATATGACAGATATATTTGAAGAAATAGGTGGGTTAAAAGGAGGAATCTCAGCTGGTTCTTCTTGTGTTTTTTTGTGTGATTGTGTTGGTTACCTTTGAATGCCCGTTTAGAAAATGCTTTTGAGTAGCCAGATTTTCTTTGTTACATAGCTTGACTCTTTGTTTAATATTTATTATTATTACAACAATAAAGAATAATAACAAAAAAGTGTAACTAAGCTTAATTTTTTTTCATTGTTGTTTTTCTTTAATAATGAACATTATAATTAAATAACTTGAAAAAAGAAAAGAAAATAATAACAAATAAAAAACCAATTAAGTTAACTATAACAAAGCTCAAAAAAATATACAAAAAACCATGTAACTAAATCAAATAAACAATGATTAAAAACAAAAACAAATATTATTTCACTTGCAGCTTCTTAATTTTTAAACAATTTAAATGTCATGTAACATGTTTTTAATTGGTGACTTTTTGCATAAAGTTTATATTTCTGTAAATCAATTTAATGACTTTAAAGCAACCCAACCATGGGTTTTTACACACATTTTTAGAGGCTTTCAGTAAATCAAAATTGGTTGCTATGGGCGTTGCTACGAAAGTTGAGTTTAGAGTTTAAGAGTGCCTTTTTAAAAATAGAAAGTAAGTATCATTTGAATTATTTTAAATGAAACAAACTACATAAGCGTTTTCTGAATAGCTCAGTTTACTTGAAAACATTCACTTTAAAATTTTTAATTTTTACTTTTTTTTCACCCAAGTACCACCTTAAAAACATTGCAAAAAAATTGTAGTTAAAGATTGACGAACAATTTTTCATGTTGTTAAATATTTGGAT